TTCTTTCCTACATCCCCTAAAACAGGTCCCCAACCACTGGGCCGCAAATGGGTACTGGTCTGTGGCCTGTTAGGAACTGGGCCACACAGCAGGAAGTGAGCAGCAGACAGCAAGTGAGTACATCTGTATTCGCAGCTGCTCCCCAGCACTAGCATCATGGCCTCAGCTCCACCTCAGATTATCAGGCGTTAGATTCTCATAGAAGCAGCGGTCCCTGGTGCCAAAAAGGTTGGGTACTGCTATCCTAAAAAGGTCCACAGAAGCCTCCATTATCATTACTTATCCCATGAATTTGGGGCTATAAACTAAAATAGAAAACAAAAGCAGAAAAGCCAATATGAGGCCACAGGCAGAAGACAGTAAAGTCTCCCTTGGACCTATTCTTTTCCTCTCAGAATAAGTGCCTCTGGCAATCTGAAAGGAAGAGCAGAAAGACAAAAGCAGGTCCTTCCAAACATTCATTTTGTAGTAATGCAAAATGCAACAGTTTATATATGTTCTGATCATGATTATGATTACTGAGCCATATTTGGCTTAAACTCTCAAATTTAAGGACTGAAGTAACAAGACAAGGCAAATAAACCAAATCAGGTTACCTGCTGCATATTTCAGTGTAATATGCTCACTGACCTCTATTTAACAAGAGATTGTGGCCTTTGAAAGACAGGGAAACGTAAAACCCACAAATAACATGTTTCATTTGTAATGAACTCAAATAAAATGAAAATAAATTTAAATTGTGTAGTAAGTAGAATAATGCCATCACGAGAAATCTGCATGTCTTACTCTCTAGAATATGTGCTATGTCACCTACCATGGCCAATGGGGTGTGAATGAGGCTAAGGGAAAAAAGAGTGTCCTAGGTTATCCAGGTGAGCTTCACAATCACTCGAGTCACTAAAAATGAAGAACCTGTCACTGAGGTACAGGTTGAGGAAAACACAACTATGGAAGAATGGTCAGAGCACTGCAACGCTGGCGGCTTCCAAGATGGAAGGGAGTCATGAGCCAAGGAATGCAGGTAGCCTTAGGAAGACAATGAGGAAATGGATTCTCCCACAGAGATTGCAGAAAGGAACATAGCTCTGCTGATGCCTTTGCCCAATGAGACCCATGTCAGGCTTCTGATCTACAGAACTGTAAGATAATAAATCTGTGCTGTTTTAAGCCACTAAATTTGTGGTAATTTGTTACAACGGAAACAGAAAACTATGTATAACAGAAGTTTTCATTACCACTACAAAATGAAGTCAACTTTTTTTCAACTACGGCCAGCTTGACAGCTGATTAAAAACAAACAAAAGATCTGATTAAAAATTAGCTTATCCAAAATGAAAAAGGATCATGCCAGTAATGTTTTTGTTTGAATTCAAGATTATTTTATGCACTTTGAACATTTAATATTCTGATTATAATATTAGAGCAGATAAATAAGTTTTGTCAAAATAAGAGATGGCAGACCAAACAAATCTGACTTGCAAGTAACATTACTGAGTCTGAGGAGAATACATCTTCATCAGTCAACGGTTAACGGTGAATCCCAGAAGATGCACAGAGCTTCAAGCAAAGTGGCTCCCTGCTGCAGCCCTTCCTCCCCGTCCCTATGACGCTTCTGTCAGAGGCCCCTCACTGCCTCTATGGGCCACTAACAGTCTCTCACCAAGGGCAGAAGTTTTACAAGACAACAGTAAAAACTTTGCTATGGGGTTTTCAAATGAAGTCACTAAAAAAGAAAAATCACTTAAAATGTTATTAACTTTAAACTATGCGTGTACTTAAGTATAAGTGCTGAGACTGGTTAGAACTGTAAAAAGTGACAGAATAAAGCTGGCTAAACATGTGGAGATAACTAGGTTGACCAGAGATTTCCCTATCCAACAGCCAACACTTAGTGAGGGAAAGCACGAACCTGGGGATAAACTGTGACCTGATACCTGAAGGGTGGACCCAGCAACACCCCAGATTCAATCAACTGACTATTCCTGCAGTTAGGATTCTTTAATAAACTGCTGTATTTGTAACCAACACCAAGACTTATGTGTGTTCAGATATTCCCTTCACCTTGCAAACTAAGACATTACAAATCAAGTTCTTACAGAAGCTCTCTGCCTGAAGTGCATTAATTCCAAATTACTTATGAAGTACCTGCTATATGCTTTGTAGTTATAAGCTAGGAAAAGACTGAGGAGGTGACTTGCTACTCATTTCATTGTAATTACCTGAAACATCTGCAAACACCTGCACCCTCTAAGAATACATTTTAGGCTCCATGAGTAAATTCTGTATTATTTTAGGTAATGAATGTGGTAACTGACCTTCACCTAACAAGATTGCCTTGAAAGATATAGTAAAGCATAATGCTAAAGAGTCTTTTCATGAGATGCCTCGTTGAGCGGCCTTTAATGTCAAGCTCAGTGGCCTGGACTTTTTCAGTCACAGACATCAAGGA